TTTCAGGCATTAAGACTTTCCTTAGAATGTGACAGAAGAGTCTGCAACCCCCAGAAGAGTGAACAACTGCACTGAAAAAAGGATGAATTAAGAGACACAGAGAGACTGGATTACTGTTCCATTGACCTGAATCCAGATACAAAGAGCAAAGGGCTCCAGATGCTGGGGATTTGGCTCAATGGTTCTGCCGCCTGCCTCACAAGTACAAGGGCCTGAGTTCAGTCCCTGGGTACCAAAAAACAAACAAAACAAACAAACAAACAAAACCCAGATACAACACTTGGGGTCTGGAGAGACACAGAGAACTTTGTCAGGAATAGGATTGGTTAACTTGGAAGAGATATTTTCAGGAGATTCTTTGAAGGCTTTGGAAAATGAGAAATGTTTTCTTTGTCAGGCTGGGTGAAGTTCTGAAATGAAGAGGTATAGAGAAAAGAGTAGGGCTTAGAGCGAAGCCTTCAAGACAGCTTCACCAATTCCCTAATTTATAGTTTTAATAACCTTTACATGCCTTTTACAGCTCGATGGATTGGAGTTTGAAAAACATTTTTCCATAAACATCCACTGTGAGGATGTGTTAGGTTTTCTTCCAAACCCAAACTGCTTACTTCCCTCCCAGGAATCAGAAACGCCATCTTGACTGTGGGATGGAACAATGGAGGTCAGGCCAGGAGCAACCTCAGAGAAGCAAATAGATTCTCCAACATGTGTATGAGTGTGTCATGCCCCCACCACCCTAGCAAGTCTTTTGACACTTAATTTCCTCAGGCATTTTGTGTGGCTTATCAGGGGTGGAACAGGCTCTGGAGTCATGCACTGGTTCAAATCTGATCTGGTTATTTTCTATCTGTTGATCTCGGTTAACTTATGCAGCCTCTCTGAGTTTCATATGTAAAACACACGAAATCTTTCTCATTTGTGGAGATTAAATGGGATGCAAAGCACTACATTACAAGCCATTAATAAAAGAGCGCTCAATACCTTTAAACTCCTAGAAGTGCTCTCATTTTCTATGCTTTGTTGACTCTAGGGTATATTCAGTGTTACTTATTTGGCTGGCACTGTACACACTTGTCCTTTTTTCCAAGGGTATTATAATCACCCTAACAGTGGGGACTAGGTACAAGAATCTCTTATAATGCTCACCCTGATGCTAAACATATAGCAAGTACCCACTCAATAAATGAATGTTTATTTAATGAACTCTTCTGAACCTTTATCCAGCTTATTAATGACTAATTCTAATAAGACATGAAAAAGGAAATGTGTTAATGAATGGGTTACTGATAAACAGGTCAATACCTTATGGTGTCTTCCATTAGTGGACCATTAAATAGAAATAGAAATCATGTTTTAATTTTATTATTATTATTAATGCATATTAACTGTACAAATTACTGCTTGTGACATGAAAGTATGTTTTTAAAAGAAATCTTAATGAGGTGACTGATGATACATTATTTAACAAAAAGGGCAGGATATGTCATTGTTTATTCTAAATATGACCGACGTGGTAAAGTGCATGAGCCCAAAAGAAAAGACTAGAAGGCTGTACATCAGGATATTAGTAATGGTTAGATCAGGAGGGGGAATTACTTTATTTTATCATTGTTCCTGTTCATTCTAATAATGTACAATGAGCATGTATTCCTTTAAAATGAGTGAGAAGTCCCTAGTACTTTTCTGCTATGGAATACAGAGGTACTTCCTATTATAAAATGAATTTCTTAAGGTCACTACAAAGGCTGCTTTAGGGAATTGATGTTGATGGCTTTGTTCCTGCTCCACCACACCCCATGGAGAACCACTGTGAGTTTTGATATCTTATTGTATTAAGTGCTCATCTCAAGGTTAAAGAGAAATGGGCAGAGATACAATCGCCCACTGGACTGGGCAGGTTATTTATAAGCCCTTGAGATTTCAAGGTCCTCCTTGCTTATGCCATAACCGGGTAAGTGAGAAGTCTTGCTCTTGAGTCCTCCTTAGCAACCCCTCCAAACATAACTCATGGAAGGAAGGTGAACACCGGGACCCTACACCCAGGCCAGTGAACACCTGTACCTGACAGAGAGCCTCATGTAGTAGTTCTGACTCAGGTGGCACGTTGTCATTTGCAAGCTCTGCCACCTTGAGCAACCTGTTTACCCTGAGTCTCATCTGCCAAACAGAACGATAACCTCATCTTCTTGTACGGGACTGAATATTTATGTCCCTCCAGATTCCTATGTTGAATTCCTAACCTGTAAGTTGATGATATTAGGAATTGGCGCCTGGGAGAGGTGATGAGCTCATGAGGATAAAGCCCTTATGAATAGGTTTAGTGCCTTTATGAGCTGGACCCCTAGGAACGTTCCTCTTTCTAGGAGAATGAAAGGAGGATGCAAGAAGTTGGCAGCCTGCAACCCAAAAGAGGGTGCTCGTCAGAATCTGACCACCCTGGCACCTTAGCCTCAGACTTTCAGCCTCCGGAACTGGAGAATAAACAACTGTCTTTAGAAGCCCTCAGGCTATGGCATTTTGTTAGAGCCACCCCACAGAGAAGCTGTAACGAGGCACAGGCACTCCAGTCAACAGTGTTGGCCGAGCTTCTCCCAAGCAGCCAGCACTGGGTGTCCATCAGCATCATCAAATCTCTGTTGACTCCAGCCACATCTGGCACCCATGTGGCACTCTAAGTGCAGACTACCCAGTGAGATACAACCAGGTTCTCAGAATGGCAAATCAGCACCAGGAATCACTTTCTTGAGTCACTAAGTTTTGGAAGGTTTGCTGTGTAAAAGTAGGTAACTAGAACAGGTGTTAAATAAATTGTGCTAGGCAGCATCTACAATGATTGCATATATAGATGACTTCGAGGAATTGATAAAGCCATTTCTAAAATGGTGAGATGGGGTGGAGGGTAAACTGGAAGGTCTCTTGCAGTGAACTAGTGAGAAAGCAATAAAGGAGCTGTTACCATATTTTCTTTTGGTTCTGTTGCAGTTGTACTCATCAGGTGCTGATGTCCTAGGGAAGCATTGTGATGTATTAGAAAAAAACTGAGTTTTGTAGTAAAGGAACATCTAGATTCACATTCCAACTGAATCACATGTGACGTGCTGAGCAGGGATGATTTATTTAATGGATTTGACTGTCTGCCCCATCGTCCTTTTGTGAAGCCTATGTACCCATTCCGACTGGCTGGGGCAGTTGGATGCCATCTTCTTTGGAAACTCACAATGCTCTCACACACTCTGGGATGATTCCCAAGCAAATATGGGTCTATACATGTACAAAAAGGTTGGGCTTTAGCATAAGAGGACAAAACTCTGTAGGGAGGTTTATGCTTCAAAGCCCTCCATTGTGGATCAGACCCAGGAAATAGACTACTTAGGTCCAATGTACTCCTGGCTCTGTCTTCTTCCTCATCCCTTTACATATCGGTTTCTCTACTCCTTCAAGGTTTTCCACCAAAGAACATGATTATCCTAATAAGTCCCATGTTCCTGAACTCTAGGCTCAGGCTCAGCTCTTAAGGATCCCAATCTGAGACACATATTCTCCCCTAGCTTCCCCTTTTCAAGCACTACTTTTTAACATTTGCTGAGAAGATAAACTGAAATTGACTGGCACCTTCAATGAATGCTAAGTAGATTCATCTTTCTCCTTGGTACAAAGTGGAAAAATATGAAGGATGCTTGTTAAAAACACACAAATGATCTTCAAATGAATTTTCTATACTTTGTAAAGAAATCTTTTAGAAAAACAGGTGACAATTTGACTTTTAAAATGGGTAATATTAATGCTTACTGTATACATTAGTGCTAATGTATAGCGTAAGGACCAACTGAAATAATGTGCATGACTACAGGCTGCAGGAGCATGGGGCACTCCATGACACTCATCGGTGTGTGCTCCGAGGGCACAGTGCTCAACACGGGGGGACGTTCCTGCATCTGCTCCAGAGACTGCAGTGAGTGAGGACAAGAGCCCCACTTGACAAAAGACAGCACAGGCTGTTCTCCACTGCAGGTCGTTCAGGGTAGACTGACCTGGTTCTCTTTTCCACACCTCTACGGCTCACAACTTGCTGTAGAATGTGCTGGGAAAGCACCAGGAGATGAGACAGGGCAGGTGGGTCAGCTGGGGCTCTGCTCAAGCTCACCCCCACAAACAGGGAGCCCTTTGCTATGGTTTCAGTGGTTCCCCCAAAGCCCATAGATTGGAGACGTAATCTCCACTGTAACTGTGTTGAAAGCTAGGGTCCTTTCAGAAGTAATGAAATCACAAGAGCTCTGCCTTTATGAATGGTTTGATGCTGCTGTCTCCGGAGTACTCTGTTATCTTGAGAGTGGGCTCCTCATGAAAGAGTTGAGTTCAACTCCTTTACACATTCCACCTCTCTCTCTCTCTCTCTCTCTCTCTCTCTCTCTCTCCCCCTGACCCTTACTCTCTCTTGCTTCTGCCCACAGGAGGGCACAGCAAGAAGGTGCCTGTCTGATGCCAGCACCTTGCTATTAGACCTCCCAGCTTCTAGAACTGTGATAAATGTACTTTCTCTATAAGTCCATTGCTCCAGGATGTTCCTCTGCAGCAACACAAACTATACTAAAGAACCCTTCAATACTTTAGCCCAGCATTTCCTGTAACTCCAGGGTATAAAAATGTGCAGGCTGTTGTCAGGGCTCCTGGGCTGTACAAATGAGGTGTTCATAATGAAGACTGTCTGCCCCAGGCAGCTTTCCTGAGCAGGGCAGGATGGGCCCCCATGAATCCTAGGCTTCCGTTGTTCCTTGCTGCTAATCTGCAAGTGACTAATCCGTTTCATGCATGTGAGTGGCTTTCATCTCACCGGACTGAACTCCAACAAGCTGCCAGCCAGTGCACAGAGGACCTGCTTCCTACTCCACTGGGTGTCTGGACCATAAACTCTAAATTCAAGACTTCTTAGAACTGTGAGCAAATATATGCAAATACACATACACAAATAGCCAGATTCGTTTACTTTGGTCATTAACACAGTTTATTATTGGCACACTTACCAGTAAAGCATACATAAAATACAGCTGTTTTATAACACACGGAGCCACTGTGTCTTTACATGTGTGGAGGAACATATTAATATGCAAATGGAAAAATTAGTTCTTTTATAAAGTTTCACATAAATACACTGGAATTGCCCCAAAAGAAAAGTCCCCATAAAATAACCAGGTGAGGGCTTTACAAAATATTATACAGGAGATAATCTATGAAAAGGCTGTATAGTCAACTCAGGTACAATAATGAAAAGTAAACACAGAGAAGTTTCAGATTTATTCAACTGCCCACAAAATTAATGGATTACATGGCTTAAAAATATTTGGATCAACAGCAACTTTACAAATGCGTACATTTCCCAGGGTCCAATTGTCTTTCTTTACATGAAAAAATCTGCCCTGGTGTCTGATGATAAAAAGACATTTCTTGTTTCAGCACTGGGGCTAAACTGAACCAACTCAGACTCAAGAACCAATGGACATGGGCTTGATCACAAATTACCTCGCTGGGCTCTCCTTGCTGTTACCCAGTGGGCAAAAAGGAAAAACGAAAGAAAAGAAAAAAAGAAGGTACATGTAAGTTACTTTCCAAAGGCTGATTTTTGTCTTTTCTTTTTTTACTGAAACAAGAAACTCTCAAATGCAAGTCAAAAAGCAGAAAATATTTTACAATATTAAAAAGTCATCTGTAGTTAGGTTCGGCATATTTAAGAGATCCTGAGCACTGAGCACGTTTACACAACACGGCCTTCGCTGGACGCGTGAGAAGGGAACTCGACACAAACACGGTGCTAACAGCGTGCCGGGAGACGCCCTCGCGATTTCCCTCGCGATTTCTCTCACTCTAAGCGTGATCAGTGCCAGTATCTGTCCTTCCGGCAAAGGCCTCCAGGGAAGGGTCATGGAAGCTTATTTGGAATGATCCTCTCCATTAAAAAAATTTTTAAAAAAGCAAGAAAGAAAAGCAGATCACTGTGATTTAGAAAGAGATATTTGCATGGAAAAGTTTTCGTTTGTTTGTTTGTATTTTTTTTTAAATTTCTCCTCTTTCCTCTCCTGAAAGCAAACATCTGCAACTGGAACGACCCCTATGGACCTGTGAACAGGTGGATGCTGGTGCTGCCCAGCATCTTACTGGGACGCCTGGGGCGGGGGGTTTTCTGATTTGGTCTCTTGCGTGGCGGGAGCTTTACTGTTCCACGGGCTGTTGTTCCCCAGGGCGGGGGAATTGTTGAAGTCCTCCTCGTCGTCCATGCCGTTGGCCGCATCATACTGCGTGTTTTCTAATCTAGTGATTAGCCTTTCGTCCTCGTCCCCAAACTCACCTCCCATCAGAGTTGGCTCTCCTACCACCATCACATCCTGTGAACAGCAGCTGACATTATTACAGGGAACCTTGGGAGAGAGAAGCTCAGCTTAAAACAACAGTGGGAGGAGCTGGGAACCTAGGACACACGCGCACACACTCGCGTGCTGCACAACAGGGTCAAGTCTCAATGTCGGGGGCCGAGACGCATATGTGATTTCTACAGGAAATAAACATTGCCTCCTGATGGGTAACAACCACGCGAGTTTATGTCCTTAGTGAGCAGCCTGACACCGGAGAACGAGCAATGCTAGCAATCTGCAGAAATAAAAAAATGGATTTTTCAAAATTAAAAAAATCCACGCTTCAAACTTGCTGACACTGGGGACTTTAAAGAGGGCTGAGGAACCTTCCGCTGGGACCTTGGCAATCCCTCCAAAAATCCGCCACTTTGACTGAGGGCCCGTGAGCGGCTTTGGAAACTAGTGGGCCACATGTGAGGTACAACTCTGCAACAGTCACACGACTGGACTCGTTCCAAATGGCACTTTTCTCTGTCCCAACCATGGTCTACATTTTAATTGAAGACAGAATCTCTCTTTTCTCTATTCAGCCAAGCCCTTTTATGCAGCCAATATCCTTGACATTCTGCTACTTAATTATGGTAATTAATTTAGGTAAAGTTTTCGATAAAAACAATGTTCACACTGATTTGACAATTTACATAGCTAATTAAGTCATTAGCAAAAACCTGCTGATTGCCAACAAGCCCTGAATTTACCATCTGTTATTTCATGGTGCCTGTCACCTATCCCCACGTAGGCAACCCTGCTACCAATCTGGGCAGGGAAGAGAACCAGTCTGTCCAGCTGGTGCCATGAAAGGAAGATGAAGAGAGTTAATTATAATTATATTGATGAAGCTGGTAGTCATCAGAAATGGAAGAGGGCAAGAAGAATCCATCTCATCACTCCTTTAAGTACAAATTGTCCTTCCATGCAACGAGGAAGCCACCCACTATAGCCGGGAGCAGGGCGGAGGCCACAGCTGGAGAAGCCTACGGCTGGGGTGGGGTGGGGTGGGCGGAGGCTCAGCCAGGGCTGGCTGTGCTTGGAGATGTGGGGTGAACCCCCAGGTAGGGAGGCTAGCTCAGTTAAACGCTGTGATGGCCGGACATCTTTCTGCCCCGAGTTATGTAAGATCAGCAGCAGGTTTCCAAACTATTTTCTGACTAGTCACTCTTTAGGAAGAACTGTTCCTCATGGAGCTAATGAATAAAATGTGAAGTCAGTCGGTTCAGCAGTGCCGATGCTGGCAGGATACTGGGCTGGGTGCTTCTGTTTACCCGGCAATGAAGAACCAGAAATGAGGCTGTCATGAAGGGAGACTCATGAGGACTCTGAAGATGACATATGAAATAGACGTAGCCTTTCTGACTGGCAAGAATGATAAGGTTTTAGATGGAACGTGGCCACCACACAGACAGATGAACATTACTCGGTTAGCTGGTAGCTGCTAATAGGGCCTGCTAGGAGTATTCAGGATAAACCTGTCACTCATTTACAGGCAATTAGGAGACCACACTTATGATCAGGAATGAAGGGAGGGAGAAGGAACAGGGCAAGACTTTTCAGGACACAACATGAGGGTTAATCCCAGTTTATGACTGCCAAGCACACTTTGGAGGACTTGGAAAACTCATGCACGACGTGTCACCAGGGCAGCGTGGGGTGTTAGAACCAACTGTGTGGGTCTGCATTAGCACTGTGACTCTAGGGTCATGGAGAAAGGCCGGAAAGTGTGAGGAGGTAAGCATGACCTACAAGGCACAGGAGAAAAATAAGAAGCAGCCAACATAAGCGTGACTTCAGAAGAAAAGTCCCAGCACTCCAGATGCCGTCACTGTATTAGAAAAACAACTATGATGCAGGAAAAGCATGATGAATGTAGTGGTCTAAATTACTCCACACGGGGCTGACATATGACACAGACTTCTAGTTTGTGTTCTGGATCTTTTGTTTCTAGGAACAACTGGAAAAGATGCCCAGGCCTGGGCGCTTAAAAAGCACCCTAAGTTTCAGGAAGATGCTGCATTTACTTTCCTAATTATAAAAACTATTAATGATCAGATGTGTTTTGTGTGTGTGTGTGTGTGTGTGTGTGTGTGTGTGTGTGTGTGTGTGGTGTCTGCAGAACATATAGGTGGAAATCTATAAAAAGATTAAGGACACAGATACTGAGGCCACTTGTAAAATTATATGCACATTTCTACTTGGCTCTTCCAAAGCTTTACACTAGGATAAGGTTCCCTGCTCTGGATGTTTTGATCTGTTATCCTCACACAAAATAAATGGGGACACGATGCACCTTCTTGGCTGCTTCTGGGGGAAGTGAGCTCCATTTCCCCCCACCCTCCTGTCTTCAAAAATCCCACACGGTGGCGAAACCCCATCTCCACCTGTAGCTCCCTCTAGAGGCAACAGCGATCCTCCTAAGCAGCCCACGTGCCCACGGCGCCCCAGAGGCCGACCTCAGCCTCTGTGCCAGGCCTCCAGGCAGCACCAGCTCTTGCCCACTTCACATCTTCTCACTGATCCCCCGTGCAAGGACCACCAACCTCTGAGGAGGACTGGAAGTGACTCCTTTCAGGGCCCCTCAATGCTTCTCCTTAAATTGGCCAGAAGGGGTCACTGCTGTTGAATGACACAGGTCTCCATCCCTCCCAGGGTTGAGGCTGCAGTTCGGGATGGCTCCTAGCCCCTGCTCATGGAGTGAGAAGCAGAATCCAAGGATTAAACCCTAGTCCTGGCCCCGCACACACTGCTGCCGCAGCAGCTACGCACAACACATCTGTGTCGTCAGACCAGGCCGATGCCTGCACACAGGGTCTCCACTTAGGCAGTAAGGTGGGGTTGGTGATTCAGAGACAGGGTTAAGAGCCATGGTCACGACAAGCGATCCCATGCTTGTCACTGAACATCCATTCAACTCAAAGACACCTGAGAATCTGCATGCTTTTTGCACCCAATTTTCTTTTTTTTTCTTCTTTCTTTTCTTTTCTTTTCCAGGACGGGGAATCAAACTTGGGACTTTGCACTTGCTGGGCAAACACAGCACCACTGAGCTACATCTCTGGCCCCCTCAGCTGATTTTCTTCCCTGCCTCTCTGGGCCATTTGCCAAGTGTTATTTCATTGAAAGAGCTAGGATTTCACGGAGTCGGGTAGTGCTGGGACTCAGCTCTCCATTTCTAGTGGTTCCTTGTTCACACTAAATGGAATAGGTCTCAACTCATGAAAAACTCCGCCTCACACAGGGATCCCCCATTAAACTGCAATAGCTGGTCTGGTGGACAGGGCCTCACAGAGTGGAACAAACCATCTGTTCTTCAGAATAAAATTGAAATGATTCTCACTAGATCAGGCACGTCAAAATACACAACCTGGAGACTTCTACTCTCAACTTCTGTACATTGCTAACGGGGAGCTCCAGAACCCAGCCCGGGCTTCAGAATCCTTCTCAACACTGGGCTGTCTGAGCCAGCGGGAGACAGATGATCTCTTCACTACCCCTGGATAGGGCCCAGATCTTTTCTTTCTTTTTTTAATTAAAAAAAAATCTTGGCACTTCCCACAGCTGGCATATTGTGAGGTACGCACAATAAGGTCTCGGCAGACACTTGTATTAGTTCCTGCACGTACTGTGCCTTTTAGGGTCTCACAGAATTCTCTGAGGTGCACTTTCCTCATTTTTTAGAAGAAACTAAGAAATGTTAGTTTCTAAAAGTCCAGGAGGAGAGGAATAAATGAGCTCCTTGTGTGCACTTTGGGAGACAATTCATTTTCATTAGTCCCTTTACTCCTGGCATTCTCCAGTTTAATCAAGGGCAGGCAAAACTTTGTGGGATATTAATAAGGACACTCAAGTTTTTCTTCTTTAATTTTTTTCCCCTCTAACCTTCAGGAGTGACAGGTATAAAGGCCCATTTAGAAAATAGTGGACTTTTGAGGATATTTGGATTACTTGAGGACTACAGCTCTTAGTGGTTATAAAAATTAAAATGGTGCCTTCCGTAGTGGGTGGGCCATTATCTCCATGGTCCTTTCTTCCTAACGCAGGGGATGTGGAAGCTGTACCCTCATCCAAGGAAGACAGGAGAAGAGCCCCAGTGGCTCTGGGCAGCCTCAGGGGACTGTTGGGCTTGGTTTTGTCTAAAGAAAACAGAACCATAAAAAGTGGGGGAAAGTGAGTGGGGGACAGATTTGAAGGGCACATTTGGAAGGAAGTGGGGAACTTCTGCGTAAAAGTCCACTCTTACACAGAGAGAGACGGAGAAAGATCAGGACAAGACGGGTGAAGACAACAGATCCAGAGTGGGAAGAGTGAAGAAGTGGGAAGAGGAGAATTGTGTTGGCAGAGGAAGGCAACGAGAAACGGGGGTGCACCTCAAAGACACAGCGTCCAGAGGGCGTCCACAGAGCACCGAGGAAAGGTCGGGTTCAAATGGAGTCACATACCTGTGACAGACTGATGTGACAAGGCAGAGACAGAAAACCCACAAGGAATTGTAGAGCGGTGAAGGGACAGAAGATGTTTCCAAGAGCAGGAGAACGGAAAAGCGATAGTCCGACACTGGGCCTGGGAATTTGGAGGAGGGAGGAAAAGGGCCAGAAGGGACACAGTTGGAGGGGAAGTGACAGGTGATGAAGACAGTTCCCTGCCCAGCCTACACCACTCGGGAGCTACCCTCTGCTGTCAGTCTTGGAGTTCCAAGAAGTCCAATTGCAAGCGGCCTTTGACTAGACCCCAAGATGAAAGCAAAGAGAGCTGAGACCAAACCAGGGACTGATCCTCTTTCCCCGAGCTAAGGAAATGGGTAAAATGAGAACTACCAAGCTACATATTTAATGACTGCAAGTTGAATACCTGAGTCTTAAAATAAAAGGGGATGCCCATGTTGGAGAGGCCCAGCCAATCAGTTTGGGGTCTGAGCTCTGGGGGTGGTTTCCAGTGGGCACATGGGGTCTGCAATGCTGCTGCCACCAGGCATACTGCTAAGGGCTACTCTAATTAAACCTCAAGTGACATAGCTCCCGTTTGTGATTCTGACGGCTTTTGAATTCAGGTCCCCTTGTAGCACTGATCTTTAGTATTCCCCCGATGCCCGGTGTGTAGGGGAAGGTTTCCAGGGCATAGTTCCCACCTTCCATCCCACCCAGCTGTCCCCACACCTTCCCATCACCCACCTCCAGCCTGCCCAGAGGGTGCAGCTCAAGGGGACTGTAATCCCAGCCCCTCAGGTAGGCAGACAGGCAAAGGCAAGACTGCAGGCCTAAAAGGAAAGCGAGACTTACAGGTACCTGAGTGGGCAGACTCAGGCTTGCGGCTGTGGTCTTCTTCTTGCTACCAGTACTGTTGGTGTTGTTCCCAGCGCTGCTGTTGGAGGTGCTGCTGGTGGAATTTTTTCTTTTTCTCCTTTTGGTTGTTGGTTGCCTTGTGGGTTCTGCTGCAGTACAGAAAACAGAAGAGGGGTCAGTTTCAGGACCAAAGCATCAAGGCCACCATCATCAGCATTCCTGCCCCTCCAGCAAAGCATGACTAGACAAATTAGAAACTGTGTACACTTAAAATTTTCCCATTTCTTGTGACTTTATTAAAGAAAAAAAATCAAAGGAGAAAGCTGTGCATTTATTTTTAGCGCACAATGTTTGAAATTGTTTTCTCTGGCATGTAGCTAAAATGATTTTATTTTATCATTCTTTCTAATTGTGTCTGCAATTTACTAATAATTAGAAGTGAGCTGCAAATACTAGTTTTATAACTGAATTTAAAATATTTTTATAACTAGAAAATTTGGGAATTCACTCTCTGAACTTTCTTTTTATAACAAACAAGCAAGCAAACATAAAATAAAATAAAAGGTATTCCCAGGATTCCTAGATGTGAAATATGAGAGATGTATAAACGTGAATTAATGAGCCAGTGTGCAACAGCGGCACCTACTGGCCAAGTGTCACATTGCAGCCCACCTCTATTACACCTTGATAGTCTCAACCTACCAAACCAAACCAAACCAAACCAAACCAAAACAAAAATCAAACTCATCAGTTGCCTAGATCATGCTACATACTTAAGTATTCCTGAACTCTGTAGCAATTCCCATGGTTAGCATCTTGGTGTTTAATAATGTTACTAACTTCAAGATTTCCCCCAAAATGTCTCAGCATGATATAGCCAGCATATTAATAAAAGGTAACTAGACTTCCTTAAGATGTTTGGAACATGATGGAGGATGGAGCACCACCCTACTGGAAATACTGAGACCTTTGGTAATGTGTGGTAAGAGAAATATTACTCGTTTTCTTGTTTGTTTAATACCATATAACATTACTCAAGGTGACGCTCTTCTTGATGTTTCCTACATATTAACGGTTTTATATTCAGAGAAACCCTATCAATTAGGCAGTGATGTTATAATCTTTGTTTTTGACAGTGAGAAATCTTTGGAAACCTTTTCCATGAAGTTATTAAATAAGTTGGAAACGGCAGGTAAGAGCATCCTTTTTGTTACATCAGCCTTTCTCATTTCTTAGCTATGACACTGACTTTGGTAAATTATATCTCTAAGTCTCAGGCCTCAGAATACAAAATGGGGATAAAATATCTCATAAAATCATTATGTAGAGTCAGTATTTTTGATTATCTCCTTCAGTTTTGTATACCACCCATGGCTGGAACTCAATAAATAATGTGAATGAATGAATGAGCGAATAATACAAATTACACAAGGATATGTTGGAAAATATAGGTGCTCAAAGTATTCGATGAATCATGAAAGTTTTTTCATAAAGGCTTGTTGATAATGAAAGAGAAAATAAGGCCACTTTAAGCTCATCTAATATACTTAAAAAAATAACATCCTAAATATGTAAAATTCCCATAAGATGGAGATGCAACTATAGTATGTGAAATAACATTTATTTTTCTCAGCTTTTAAAGTATGCATTTGGTTAAATCTTCTATATTCATTTTATATAAAGCCCCTGGCCAATTACCAGTGGAAGGTGACCATTATGTTTTGTGATTCAGAAAGCTATGTGCCTCATGCTAATAATTACTCTTTATAAAATAATTTTTAGCGAATGGATATGTTTTGCTTTTATGATCAATGAGGCTCAACACAAGCCTGGGAGTGAAAATGTATTAGATAAAAAGACAATTAACGATGACTTGAAGCAGTAATTTCAGAACCCCAGCAGGAAACTATAGTATCTAAACTGCAGTCTAGGGAAGTGAAAGAAATGGAATCTTTTATGTATTCTCTTTATGATCAGAGTACATTTGTATATAATGTATTTTTTTTAAAAAGAGCATTCTTTACTTACCCTCCCTCCTTCCATCCCTTCTTTCTTCCTCTATCTCTTGTCATACTCCCTTCCTTCTTTTAATAATTTCAAACATTATTAAAAATCCAAATCAAAAACATTAAACCATGAGAAGCCAGTGGTCTGGTTCAGTGGAACAACCACTGGATTAGAAAACAGGAAACTACGGTTTTGATCTTGTCTTTGCCAATGACCTTCAGGATGACCTTGAACAAATGATTTTATTTTTCAAGGTTTTAGGTTCTAACCTGGCAAACAAGAAGACTATAGAGATTCCTGAGGATGCTTGCTTTTTAAATGTTCCATGTGTCCAAAATCATGCCAGACTATCCCTAATAAACAACTTCCTGATGTATTTCCGATCCTCTCATTCCTTTCCAGATCACTTCCTCCCCAGAAGGTGCCTGTGCAAATGTACACACAAAGAGGGCCAGAGAAGGAGAGTGTACCTGGTGGTGCCACCATCCGCTGCCACTTCTGAAACAAGCAGGTCTTGAGGCAGTCTCGGGGACTGAGGTTGTAGGTTTTATGTCTGGACATCAGCTCCTGCATTGGCTCCAGTATTACACACAACTGCAAGGAGTCCAAAGACAATGGCGCTCTGAAACTTCATGGCATTAATTACAGTAAGTGATGGTAACAGCTGCAATCAACTAGACAGTTATGGGTACTTCTGTTTCTTTCTCTGGTATTGACTGCTTCATGTAAGTTTGGGGGCAAAAGAAGTATTACACTTGATTATACCCATCTAATTTTATATGATTTATAACTGTAATACAGCTGAATGTGACACACACACACACACACACACACACACACACTCTTCCTGTACAGACTATGGGCTAGATATGTATAGCTCTATTATGAATTCAGAGGACTCCCTTCTAGGGAGAGCAGCATGCTCTGATTTCTGCTCTGGCTTCTGGCTGTTGTTCTTGTTTGTATAACCACACACTGTGACTTACAATGCTCACTTATGCAGATTATCTGGCAGTGAAATGTATCTTTTAAACTTTGGAGAACAGAGTAGCAAGTATAGGTGTCTTTAGAACTCCATTTTTCAAAAGGCAGTGATGAATGCCACTTTATTTTTCTGCATGAACTCATTTGCATTTTAGACACGGTGATGACGATGGAAGTTACACATGCCAACAGTCATGCCATGTGGGAGGCTTCACCGTGGTGGTCTCCCATGCAGTCAGTCTGTTTCCTCCTTTGCTTAGAATTTTCACCTTCACTTTGTCCCAAGACATTGGGTGACCAAGTTCAATGAATGAAACAAGAGGGTAAAACCATTTAGGGTTGCCTTAGATTTTTTTTGAATTCCTTCTCAGCTGCAAACTCAGCAGACAACCACTGTATGAGAATCCTGTGTCTGAGAACAACGACTGCAATTTGAGATGATCCATTAATTGCTGTTGCAGTCACAGTGACACAAATATTGGCACTGCACCTGCCCATGTGAAAAGCATCGTCTTATTATGCAAAACAGAAGTGCAGTCTGCAGTTTCACTGTCATGCCTTCCTTACGACCTCCTTTACATCTTCCTTCACCCTAACCACTTACATAGAGTCCACACCGCTTTTTTCGTCTTCGCTCCTCTCTTTCTTGAGAATACATGCACATCCCTGAAGACATAGTTACCTTTCTTCATGACCAGGCTGACTTGGTGCCTCCCTGTTGTTCTCCCGCTGCACCCAACCCTCCTGGCTGCACAGACCATGGTCATGCTTTGAGATCGTATGTTTCCAAATTTGTCTTTTCTACTAGACCATAGATTCCTATAATATAGCAACTATGGGTTTTATCTCTGTGTTCCCAGATTTAGCTCAGTTGAAAGAATGCATTTGAGGAGCTGATTGTTATAAAGATCAAATAATCGGTCTAGGTGAGTGTTTCTCAAAGCATGGTCTAAGCAATATCTCTATCAGAACCAAGTGGGCCAACTACCAAAATGCAGGCTTCAAAGCATGACTCCTTCTGTTTCACTGAGTTGGGATGTGGGGTCCTGATTTAACATTTTGAAAACCCAATCCCCCATACAATTATGGACAATACTACTAGTTTCAGGTCCAGTGCCCTGTAGACTCCGGGCCTTAGAAAAGACAGAAACAGCAACGTGCACAAACCTAGTGGTCTCCAGCTATAGTTCCACTCTTCTTACCTCATAATCCTTCCTTCCTGCTCAAGTCTAAGCATGATAATTGTGCCTCACCTAGAAAGATTCTTCAGCTTTCTCTACGTATTGATGACCTACATTTGATAAAATCACTAAGCTCACTTAAGGGCCTCCTCAACTTCCTTCCATTGGCAGTTTTTCTGAAAGAAGAAAGCAAGATTTCAAAGGTCAAAGAACCCAGTTACAACATGGGTCACGGGGACAAAGCCACCCAATCCTAAGGAACCCGTCCTGAGTAATCCAGTAAAACAATGAGACTTTGATCTTCACTCTTAGGTACTTCTTCGATTACTTTAGAGTCTTTTATTTGAAATCTAATGTGTCAGTAAGTAAAAATCCATGAAAGAAACAAAATTATTGTGCAATTAGCTCCGTATTTCAACAAAGTGAAAGATACTTCTCCCCTATTAAGAATTCCTTGCTAGAAATCAAACTATGTGCAAATTACATTCCCTGTTGCTCACTAGACCAAATGGAGTGAAAGATTTTACAATCCAATTCCAAATCATCTTTATAAGTAGCATTGAGAATGGAGTGGTCCCTCAGAAAAGAATACTGTGAGATTCAGATAGAGTCAGGAGACATTTGAATCTTCCTTCAGAAAAATTCTAGGAACTGGGAAACTGTTTTAAAAAGCTTAAAAAGGTTTTTAGGGGCCAGGGATTTAGCTCAGTGGTTCTGCTGCCTACCTCACAAGTGCAAGGACCCAAGTTTGATCCCCAGTAACACACACACACAGGTTTTTCAAACTGTTTCCTTTTGGTTCATTTTACTTTCAGTGCAAATGAGTTTACAGTGGATATGAAATATATAGGTGGGATGCAGACAGTATGGATTTCTAAACTAAGAGGTCTGGGAGAGAGTGCAGCTCTTCACATTGTTTGTCCTTGGGTTACTATGACACCGGGTCTCTGTTTCCCTTGCAAAACATGCCTGTCCTGTGTACTGAGAATTTGAGGTGATGGGTCTAATACATAAGAGCCTGACAATCTGTAGAAATTATCACTGCGTATTAACAAGCACAATACAGATTGCAAAAACACCACACATTTGTATTACTTTAAATCGCCAAACATTTACTGGGCTTTCTCCTAAGTGTCAGGCACTAGGTCTGGGTACTGGGGCCACAGAGATTAGAATAACACAATCTCAGCTTTCAAAGACAATTCTGCACCCTTAGAAATGACTTAAGCATATTAAGAAGCCCACCCCAAGTATACAGTTAAAGCATCTCAGGAAATCACATCCTTTTGAAGCAAGTATTTTTCACTATCTGACAAATCAGATGGCAAAGATGATCTGTTTGTACCTAGAAAGGGCTACCAGCAGCAAATAGGCTGTGGATGGGGAGAGCGGCATTTATGGTGAGGACCTGTGAGCTCATTATTGCTTTCTTTCCTCTCTGGGTTTTGGGTAACGTTCTTTTCAGGAGATAATCCCCAGAATCCATCCCTTCCCCTTTAATGTAAAAATATCTTCCCATCGTCAGAACCCACCCCAAAGGAGCTTGCATCTCTGCATGCTAATCAGGAGTCCCCAAAGCATCTCTCTTGCAGAGGAGAGTTCCTGGGCTGGAGAGGCAGCCCTCCCCTTATTCATGCATGCAGATGAGGCTTCCTCTCTGCCTCGCAGATGTCATGGCTGTGCTGGGCTGTGTGCTGTAGGTGGCAGAACTAACTCAGGCAAGAGCCTGTCTTCTCTGGCAGCAAGACATTGCATCTTGGCAGCAGTAGAGACTGGGCCATTATGAAATGAAATCAGGAAGACAGTTGAGGGAGTGGGCTCCTGTGGCCACTGACCAAATCTTTTCGGAGCTGTTTTCACTTCCTTCTCTGAGCACTCATATCCTCTTGATAATTGGGTAAAGGGTTATGCAGCCTGTCTCTTAAATTGTGTACTAAATTTCTGTTGATGAATCCTCTACCGTCCCGTGCGTAGGCTCCAGGTGAAGAGTCCACTATCTGTATTAAGATAGAACCAGGCTACAATATGCATGCTTTCCCTGCATGCTACACACACACACACACACACACACGCACACACACACACAGAATAATGCAAGAGCCCTTATTTTGAAGAGCAATTTTATCTGCAAAGCTGAGCCTGTTAAAAAGTTCCCAGTGGACCAGGTCCTTTGCCTGACATGAAAGGTCACAGCCAGCACATTGGTAACATCTGCAACAGCTGTTGCTGCTTCATGCATGGATGCAACATAGCTCAGTCTCCTCCTGTAAGGGGACTGGAGGGCATCAGAAGGAATCCCAGGATGCAGTGGAAGGGACGGGTTCAGACCAGTGGGGCCCCAACATCTCTGAGTACAAAGCCCATAAGGATGTGGTGCCTTCTAAGTCCAGTCAGTACCCAAACAAAGCCACTGCTCACCCTGGCAAAGTGGTAAGAACACAGTTTTGCAGATAAAGAGAGGTTCAGGTTTGGGATGTTCCCCTTGGTTCAGACTCCATTTTCTGTGACTCTGGCCCCACACTGACTCTTTGGTGCAGAATTCGGTAATCATGATAGAGACTTGCTGAATGTACGTATGTATATATGTATGTATGTATGTATGTATGGATGGATGGATAATAGTTTAACCAGATTAATAGTAAGGAGCCATTTGTTAGTGGCAGACAGGTCAACAATGGTCCTGTGGGCTTAGATGAGATCAATTTGTCTATCTGATAAATGACTGATTGCCTCCTCTCTGCGGAACGCTTGGTTAAAATGCTCACAAAAGTCCTGGACATGCAAGAGGATCTTAGCTCACTTCCAGGATCCTTACCTTTTCATATTAACAGAGGGCTGGTCCACACTTGTAAACAGTACGTTATTTCATTTTTGTTTATTTGTTTTCATTTGATAACAATCTTTGGTAATTTGATTCTTGTCAGTTATATACTCATACACATTCTTCTGGAGCCCAAGGGATAAAGGAATTTGTTGGACTACAGCAAAGCTACTATCCTGGAGATGATGTTGGGCTACCACAGAAAAAGAGTTGAATAGAACCCATGGAGCCCTGTTATGGCTTGTGTTTAGATGTGCGCCTAAAAGTCTTGTGCAATCATAGGTGGGGCTTTTTCAGAGATGGCTGGATCTAGAGTGTGTAACTGATTTATGGTGCAATGCTAGGATTAAGGTGGGTGATTACTAAATCAGTCCACTGATCGCTCTGGCACCACAGCCTAGATAGAATATATAAAGGGTAGAAAAGCTGCTAAGGCCCCTTGCTTGCTTGCTTTGTTACCTCCTGCCCTCCATGAACTGTTTCTCCTTTGTAAGGCCTATCTGCAATGCCACCCTGCCTTTGAGCCAGCAGACTGTGGACTGAAACCTCTACAAACCGTGAGCTAAATAAACCTTTCCTCCCCCACATTGTGTGTGTTGAGTATTTTG